GTAAGCCGAGTGTTCAATATCAGAAGTGAAGCATAAATCTGAAACCATCAGCAAATATAGGAAGTTGTGAACTGATGACATGGCGCTATTTCAACAACAAAAGCCCACACCAGCACCTTCACGGGATTTATGTTTTTATGTTTTGATCAGACGATTCACCTTTAGGATCCGATCCCCTGACCACCAACGTGACACCCACTTTTGTATTTGGTGCCATCTACTGCATGTTTAGCTCCATTTGTCCCAAAATTACAAAAGAGGTGGCACATAGTACTGGGGCGCTATATTAACAAATTTACAGCGAATTTGGTGGTATGGGTGTTACACCAACTTGATGCAAATCTGCACCACTGCTGTGCCAAATGGCATCAGCGCTAAAAACAATCTCATGTTCATGGTCAGGGTGCGAAAAGTTACAGCGAAAAATAATTTTGCGTCTTGAAATCGATGCCGATCCGTAGTCTCATGCGATAGGTACCCCCCAGGAGGCCCTGTCGGCAAGAAGGCAGAGTCGGCGGACGAGTTGCAGCGCGTAGTGTGCGATGTAGGACGTGCAGTGGGACACTATATTTAACACATTCACGACGACGCCCCTTTTCCACTTTTCGGTCGCGTGGGACGGACGCGATTTTGTGGGCGCCGCCGCCTCACCACATAACCGCAGATTTTGTTTGTAAATGAACAAAAACATGAATGTCACAAAATAATTTCTGCAATGTCCAATGCGTAAAGATTATCTAAACATATAACAGTAGGATTTCGATCAGAACGACAAATAGTGGTTACGAAAAGAGAGCATTTATTCACTTTCCCCGTGAAGGAATTTAAAAGCATTTTACACTCGATTACGAGGATTTGCCCACCTATCTGTCCATTCCTAGCGCCTGGCAAGCGATTATCAGTTGGCAGCCCATATGGGCTGCCATCGTCCCAGAAACCCATCGGCGTGAATGTGTTAACTTGACGCGAAATCCCTATAGTACGCGCGCGACTCGTCCGCTGACTTTGCCTTCTTGCCGCGCGACGGGCCTCTTGGGGGGTACCCTATCCGATAAGGGGGGGGGGGCATGTGACCACAGTTGCCGCCTGCAAAGTCCCATTTTTTATAAAGAGGGAAGTCTTTCAGAGCTTAAATAATTCGCTTCCGTTCTCACCAACACCCTGAAGCCTCTTTCTCATGCGAAATTGAATTACTTCAGGCTATATTAACTGAACGCACTATATGCCCCGTCCTTAGTGAGACTCCCAGCTTTTGCTATTTGTTGATTTCCGTCCAAGTTTGAACATGCGAACGTCATCTCATAAACACTATGTAAATTCTGTGCAAAAACTACGCAAAATTACTCAGGGACAACTTTCATCGTGAGCATTGCCTTCGAACTGACTCAATGTCACCGATAATCCCCTTTGTACAATTTCTAGAAGTATCGGAGCGTTTTGTGTTCTTTCTATGGCGCACTGAAATGCAGCAGTACAGCGCTCGTTTCACTTCTCGCATGCAGCTGTTGTGTTCCGAATGCATTGCTAAGCAGCAGATCGCTCTCTAACACGAACGAAAGCCTCGTTATTGATATCGGAAATGAATGAAGGAAAGTCACATCGCTGTGCATAGTAAATTAACACGACATTATCGCCTAACACTTTCATTCATAACCATGTCACAGCTATTACAATTCACGCATACTTTGTAACAGCGTTTGTCGAATGTTTGACGATGGAAGTTGTGGAGTCGTTGAGCACAACACGAAATTTTGCAGATCCGAAAACAATCGCGGCGTATTTCACTTCACTATCGTTCATCTTCACATTCACATACGAGTGAGACTGGCTCGTCCAAGGTGCGGTGAATTCTGAATTATAAAAACTCCGCTCGCTGAAAGCTACTCAGCAGTATGGTGAATTCCTAGGAGTTCAGCTTCACAGAAGATGAAGACAGTTTCGAACAGAAAAGACCACAAGCATTCGAGTCATTACAAGTGCTCAGATTATCAAATTTGGAGCAGCGAATGGGTGTCCACCAAGAGGCCCGTCGCACGGCGAAGGAAGAGACGCAGACGCGGGAAAGGAAGAGTCACAGCTCAGTATGCAACTCGTCTGTGTCCCCTCCTTCGACCCGCGACGGGCCTCTTGGGGGGAGGCACCCAGTGTTCGCTACTTGTATGCAGAGCGCCTACGCGAATCAGTGCAACAAAATGCCCGACTCAGGGCATCCGACATGAGGCCTGTCACACGACGAGAAGGCAGAGATGTAGAGGAGTCACCGGACGACTCGCAGCGCGCACCATAGCGATTTAGGGTCAATAAATGGAATGTACTATAATTTCTCGTCGCATAGTACGTGCGGCGACTCGACCGCTGACCCATTCGTGATTCTGCCTTTTCGCCACGCGACGGGCCTCCTGTCTTGTACCCGCCTCGCTCATGGCCGTTCTTTGAGATTTTCATGCGCGCGACGAACAGTTTCAACGATTTGCGTGCCGTACGGCAGTTAGGCAAGTCTTGTCAGGCGACAAAGGGCAGAGGCGCATAAGCGAGCTGATTAGGTTGTCGTGCCTTCTGTGGCGGTCTGGCGTCACTTCAATTAGGCTGTAATACACTACGTCAAATATAGTTGATTTCACGACGTGAAGTCAAATTACTATTTTTCTGGGAATTGTTCTCTCCTAAGTCTTTCAATTGGGTCCGTCGGTGGTGGCACATCCATCTTGGAAATCTAGGCGCTGTTGAACTAACCGAGGGAAGGCATTGAACTCCCCGTGGAACTTTGAGCCGAGACCTAGACATATCGATAGAGCCTGGGACAACGGTTAGAACTGCGGAACCCAAAATTGCAAAACGATTCTGCCAAGGAAGTTACGAGCAGTCGAAGTTGGCTGCAAATGAGTGCTTTTGGATGAGGCTCGCTAGTGTCAGAGAAACTGTGTTGCCGTGGTGTAGTGGTAAGGCTCTCGCTCATCATCATGCAGGTCATGGGTTCGGTTCCCGCTGCTGACGCGTTTTTGCAAATCATGTTTCATACTCATTAGAGACTTCTAGTTTTTAACTTATCCGAGCGAGCACCTTGTCAGAACGTGAAGACCGAGTGACAGATATAGTTGTCGCTATGTTCCTGATGAATATCTTCATTGATAATGGTGTATTCTCCCGCGAAGGTAGTTTGGATACTTTTCGCAAAATTCGGAGCAAGAAGATAATAGTCCTGCAACATGCAAAAAGAGAAAGATTGCTGCAAGGTCCGCTTTTATACTTCGTGCATCGCTGGATCGATATTGTAAAGGTGAAAGATTGAAATCGGATGCCCGACAGCTCGGCAAGGCAGACAAGCCGTGGAGTGGTAGAGGTTTCAAATTAGCTCTGTTCTTTCTAACTGAACGCTGGGTGTAGAAGAAAGTGCGCACGAAGTTACTTCATCTCAACTCAC